GAGGACATCAAAATCGACCTGTTGCGCCAACTAAAACATTCGGGATCAACATCTGTTGTTTTCTATCTTACTTACCCTATCCCCTTGCCGGTGTCTCCCTTAGCACCCGTCTTCAAATGACCTTAGCAGTATGCAGTTATTTTGAAACCCCATACGTATTCATATACTGTGTTATCCTCAGCGTTGTTTCCTAGTGGAAATAATTATAATAACACCTGTCAGCAAAACCAGTTTTGTTCTCCGATAATAAGTGTTTCTTGATTTCTCCTGATATACATTAGCATCCCTTTGAATATTTATGGGCTGTTTTCATTGATCGTATTCATGTCTGTCCCACTCAGGGGGAACCTACCACAAACTGATATATTATTTATCGATAAACTGTTGGTGTCGTCTAATAACCATTTACTTTATTTGTAGTCAGTCTATGTACCATAATCACCAAGTCATGCCTAATGACCTTATTGTTTAAATAAACTCTGAAAAAGGTCACGCTAATTCTACAATGTATTTAATCGACGCGGCATTCATATGTGTAATTGTTTTATTTAACCTTGTAAATATACTTCCTGTTTCAAATGACCATATAAAAGGAAACAAATCGTAATTGAACAATTGGAAATTGTTACATATAAACAACATTTGACTTAAGTTGATTTACTTATGAAACTCTCCATAATTTATTTGTATAGCATGTAACACTCAAATGGAAAAATGCAATTAATATGTTTGGTTTGTTCAATACATTTTTCTTTTTTTAAATGTCAGATTAATAAGCTATACATTTATATGGTATTCAACGGAGGTAATAAGATGAATTGTTGCTGATAGTACGTGAACCGTAACCTTTAATATACACGATTGATATTGAATAATAACTTTCATTTAGTAAATAAAATAACTAAATGGAGAACAGAGGACAGACTCTGTATGCAGTTGTCTGTCTTTGACAGCACATCAGTTATAATGTTATGCTTTGTATATCACGCTACATACACGTATTTAACTGTCCTAGAACCGAAATGTAGATAAATTGTCTTTTTCTAAATTTAAAGCTACTATAGCAAACTGTATTAAAACTATTTGGCAAACTAAAGGGTCTGAAGAAATAAACAGCGAGATATTAAAAATACAACTTATAAGGGTCCATATGCAACAAGTAGAGCAGATCGCAGGGACTATGTATAGGTACGTATTGGAGACCAGCTTTATTGCCATTAATGTTATCAAAATTTATAGTCAAACATTTTATGATAGAATGAGCTGATTTCAAATAAATATGTGACATATTCTATAACGCACCGTCTTTGAAAAGATGATTTGCTACAGTTTCTGTGCAATTAATATATATGACTATTTACATTCCATTGAACTTTACGATAACATTTTTATTTTATAACCGATTTGTTGGATACTGGTGTATTTTAACATCCTAAACATATTCTCACCTATTTTGTTTTAGTTTGATGTAATCATTTTTGTAAATGTCTATTTCAAAGTGTTATTTCGCCCTAGATTACTCATATTTTGGAAGGGCCGGTAAGCAATACAAGAAGCAAAGCAAACATATTCAATTGTCCTTCTCATTCACCATTCCTAGTTCCATATCGTATATGAAATTATATTTGTTAAGGAGAATGTATTTTTGCCTTCAATATATCATGGATGGTTTGGATGTCCTTTAGTTTAATTTCGCTGCCAAGAGGAATCTATGGCGTATTATGTTCAAATAAGTTTTTGAATAGATGAGAAACAAACAACTTCCAAAGTTTCCGTTAATTGCTCAACGAGTTTATAACGTGATGCAATGTACTAACATGCGTACACAACTTGTCCGTTTGGTGTGTTAACGCCATCGTAGATCAGATAGTAGCACAACTATTACAGCACTCTTCATTGACGCTACATGCTTGACATAGTAGCCTATACACGAGTATATTGTGTAGTGTTTGTGTACGACTTACAGTCCGATAAGATTAAAACGTGTAGTAGAGACCATATGTATAGTTATCTTAATCAACATAAGTATGGTCCTAAATGTAGTTTTTCATATTTTTGAAGGTCCCGATAGAGGTGGCGATTTCCATTACATACTAATATTGATCTCAATTTTGACAGAAATATTTTGATGCGCAAACTCATTTCAAGCATTTTGATAATTCACTTTTATTTGAAGTTTGAAAATAAATAGGCAATTGTCTAAAATAGTGATAAAATCCTAAAAAACCACTATTGTCAATGTGATGACAAGGGGCGTCTGCCAAAAGCAGTAACTTTCATTCATGCTATTTAACCTTTGGAATGCTACCTTACCTTTATGTAGTAGAGTGGAATACATCCAGACACGCAGAAGTAGTCTATGCTTTTATCATAACATAAACAGCCAGTGGACATCTAAAAGACAAACAATACAAAATATTTAGGAAACTATTCACCAACATAGAATGTATTACAGCGATATAAATGACATATGAATTGAACATACATGTACATATAAGAATGGAACATTATACAATTATGGACTTCAGGTGAGGTCTATCCCTGATTTACGGACCTGGTCTGAACAATATTCACAGAGGCCGAAGGCCGAGGTGAATATTGTTCAGACCAGGTCCGTAAATCAGGGATAGACCGAAACTGAAGTCCACAATTGTTTTATTATATGACATTTTACAATAAGATTAATAATTTTTCATGTCATAAACACATGGATGGCATGGACCATTTTAGAATCACAGAGTGAAGGACTTTAAATACAAAATAACATACACAAAAATTGAATTTTAGATTCAATTCATGTGATATTTAATTTCAAATAAATATTATTTGAAAAATTATTTGAACTGTAGTTGAATTCAGTAGTGTGAATGGTAACAGATTTAAAGACTGTCTGGGAAATTACCTCGGTCTATTTTTAGTAGCGGTCTGTAACACTTTTCTATATAAAGGTCGATGTCTGTAACACTTTTCTATTTATAGAACGAGGTCTGTAACATATTTACAGACTCGTCACGTGACGTCGCTCCTCCAATCAGGGCTGGGAATTAGCACCAGTCATTTAATAAGATACAATATTAGTTATATCTCTGGGTTAGGAGGGGTCTACAGGCTCATAGACCCCGTCTGGTTTTTATAGACCCGGAGCACTGTCATCTTACAACACATAAAACACAAAATCAATATATACACATATTGCACTGTCATCTTACAAAATATAAACACAAAATCAATATATACACATATTGTAATAGCGTCTTATCAAATATAAACACAACATTAGTGTTCTATCAAATACTCCTATCTTTACCTAAAACACAATTATTATAAAAGTACCGATACTCTTCCTTCATTGTATACTAGCGGGAAAAAAAACTGTGCTTTGCGGAGAATTGTTATAGAACATGTAGTACCAATTGTATATACATGAAAATTAACACACATGACCGAGTATGACACATACACACTATCCGTGTGTCATTGACGGTTTTTCTCGCGCAGTTTGCTCTCAGTAAAAATAGCATTATAACATTTTAATTTGTGATTAATGCTATGCCAAGGCTCAATAAAATTACCGCCTCCGCATTATTGGAATGCTTCAAGCTGGTATGTGCCAAGCCGTTCACGTTTTCATGTCCATCGCAACACAATCCGGCATTTGTGGAGACGACATAAAAAGTTTGGCCACGTCGGCGGTCGACCTCGTGCGGGACGTCCACGTGTAACGTCACGTCAATAGGACAACCATATTCGGCTTGTCAATTTGAGAAATCGCTTCCAAACGGTAAGTTTTGACTACACGGGCAATCCTTGTGTTAATACCAATAAGTCCGAGAACTGTACGGAACCGATTGCGTGAACCAGCTATCCGTCCGCCACGTTCTACAATCCGCCCAGTTCTTCTGCCACGTCATCGTGCATCACGTCTGGGCTGGTGCAGAAGGCATCTGCGATTTACTCGACGGGATTGGGCAGACATTTTGTTTACGAACGAGTCGCGAGTCCACCTGGATAGTAGTGACGGCCATTCCAGAGTGTATCGTCGCGTAAGAGAACGTTTTAGTGACAACTGTGTGGTACAACGACGTTCTTTCGGCGGAGGCAGCGTTATGATTTGGGGCGGCATCGCATCGCAGATGACGGGCTTACCTAATCAACCGGTGACGTTGGCTGATTTGGCTGCAGCGTTGGAACAGATCTGGAATGCCATCCCACAAGCATTCTTGAACCGTTTGATAGGCTAAAGGCGTCGACGTTGCCAGGCTTGCATTCAGGCGAACGGTGGACATACGAGGTATTAATTTTGTGAACTCAGTATTGACCCCTGCTGTGTTTACGTCACTCCTGAGCGGAACTTATTGATTCCATAACGTGGAAAATGAAATGCAACTGTTAATAAATAACAAATAAATTGTCCCTGAAAACCTTGTTGTTCTACGTGATAAACATTTATTTTTATAACACATATTAGGCATGCACAGTTTCTTTTTTCCGCTAGTAGAAATTGTCACCCTTCTAATTTGTAGCACTTTTTCTGATTGGATATCAGGGAAGCATGTGCAAGGGGAGATAACTCAAACTAAAATCTGTCTTTAGAACAACAAAGATGCCAATTCTTCTCATGATGAAATAGCCTACTTTATTGACAGCAAATTCAACGAAACAGGCAATGAGGGGGCCTCTAGGGTGCTAATTACAAAGATGGTAGTGTTTTGTCCGAAATATTGCCGAAAAGGTAACCGGTAGGGGCTATTTTTGTAGCAGTCAAGTACAACTCAATCTCACAAAGCGACTTATAATTTTGCAGAACAATAATGAATAAAAAAAATGTCAGGGTGACACATTCGTTATCTCTGTAGTAGGATGGGTCTTCTGGCTCATTATAACTAATAATATGCATACTTGACCAAAAGCTCGCCGCTGGTGTACGTTAATAGGAGTTCGGTTTTCCCACTAAGGCTTATGCCTCCCCACACCATCACTGAACCTCCGTCATATCGGTTATGTTCCACAACGTTACCAGCGTGGAACCTCTCCTCAGGTTGTCTCATTACTCTTACATGCCTGCCGATGAAGTCGAAACAGAGTCTGGACTCGTCAGTAAAAAGAACCGGTTGCCATTCCCAAAGAGTCCAAGTGCTATGAGCTGTGGCCCAATCTAATCGGCCCCTAACATGGCAGGCGGTTAAGGGAACTCGAATTTCTGGTCTACATGAACTTAAACCAGCATCATGAAGAAGGTTTCTAACTGTCTGAGTGGCAACCCGGGTACCAGAAGCATTTAGGTGGCCATTCAGTAAAGCTGTGGCAGTCTGGAACCTGTATGAGCATTAGTTGATATTGGCGCTGCATTGTAGCCCTTGAACGACCTCCAGCATGACGCCTGGAAGGGTTTCCTTTAGTTTGGAAACGATTCCACATTCTTGCTACAACACGTACAGACACTCCAAGCTGCAACCTGACGTTGAGACATGCTAGCTTGCATTATTCCGATGCCCCTATTCATTTAACCGTAGTCTGGTTCGTCTTTGTGCCATATTAAAACAAAAACACGCAAAGAATATTCATCAAATTGATTTCCTTAACAATTTGAACAACACCTTTCCTAGCCTATCTTAGCTTTTGAAGGGGGTGTACACGTTTAAAAGCGTGCAAGCGCCTTTATGGTTGACTGAACACATCCACACAGGACGATTCGGAAGACTAACATATTCGCCAAAAACAGTACGGAAGGAAAATATTACATTCTTTGATTTTGATTTTGTTTTCAAAATATAGGTGATCCTTAGCAAAATGTGAGTAGTATATATATGTGAAAAATACCGATCTGGCAGGATGGTTACACAAGATCATCTGAGTTCTAATATCAGCATGTTATAGGTAAGAGAGCTACATATTGAACTGGAAAAACGACATCATGCCGTCCATATATAACAATGGTTAAGGACACAACAAAACTTGAAGGGACTCTATTAATGAGCCTCAACTTATTTAAATTAAGCTACAAATTAGTAGAGCATAACTGAAATCACTCGTTTCAATACATATTATACAAACTTCATGAGGTTGCTAACATAAGTTACAAGAGGCTATCAACAGAAGCAACAGAGATTAAGGGGGCTATCAAAAGAAGTTAAAGATAATAAGGTGGCTATCAAAAGAAGCTAAAGAATCAAAGAGTATATCAAAAGAAGCTACAGAGACTAAGGGGCTATCAAAAGAAGCTACAGAGACTAAGAGTCTATCAAAAGAAGCTACAGAGACTAAGGGGCTATCAAAAGAAGCTACAGAGACTAAGAGGCTATCAAAAGAAGCTACAGAGACTAAGGGGCTATCAAAAGAAGATACAGAGACTAAGAGGCTATCAAAAGAAGCTACAGAGACTAAGAGTCTATCAAAAGAAGCTACAGAGACTAAGGGGCTATCAAAAGAAGCTACAGAGACTAAGAGGCTATCAAAAGAAGCTACAGAGACTAAGAGTCTATCAAAAGAAGCTACAAAGACTAAGGGGCTATCAAAAGAAGCTACAGAGACTAAGAGGCTATCAAAAGAAGCTACAGAGACTAAGGGGCTACCAAAGGAAGATACAGAGACTAAGAGGCTATCAAAAGAAGCTACAGAGACTAAGAGTCTATCAAAAGAAGCTACAGAGACTAAGGGGCTATCAAAAGAAGATACAGAGACTAAGAGTCTACCAAAAGAAGCTACAGAGACTAAGGGGCTATCAAAAGAAGATACAGAGACTAAGAAGCTATCAAAAGAAGCTACAGAGACTAAGGGGCTACCAAAAGAAGATACAGAGACTAAGAGTCTATCAAAAGAAGATACAGAGACTAAGGGGCTATCAAAAGAAGCTACAGAGACTAAGAGGCTATCAAAAGAAGCTACAGAGGGTAAGGGGCTACCAAAAGAAGATACAGAGACTAAGAGTATATCAAAAGAAGCTACAGAGACTAACGGGCTATCAAAAGAAGCTACAGAGACTAAGAGGCTATCAAAAGAAGCTACAGCGACTAAGAGGCTATCAAAAGAAGCTACAGAGAGTAAGGAGTTATCAAAAGAAGATACAGAGACTAGGAGGCTATCAAAAGAAGTTAAAGAGAATAAGGTGGCTACCAAAAGAAGCTACAGAGACTAAGAGGCTATCAAAAGAAGTTACAGATAATAAGAGTCTATCAAAGAAGCTACAGAATCAAAGAGTATATCAAAAGAAGCTACAGAGACTAAGGGGCTATCAAAAGAATCTACAGAGACTAAGAGGCTATCAAAAGAAGATACAGAGACTAAGAGGCTATCACAAAAAGCTACAGAGACTATGTGGTTATCAAAAGAATCTACAGTGACTAAGGGGCTATCAAAAGAATCTACAGAGACTAAGAGGCTATAAAAAGAAGCTACAGAGACTAAGGAGCTAGCAAAAGAAGCTACAGAGACTAAGGGGCTATCAAAAGAATCTACAGAGACTAAGAGGCTACCAAAAGAAGTTACAGAGGCAAACAACAAGGCTTCACGTTGCTACCAAAGTGAGCAGTGTGAGTCTGCCAAAATAATATACAGAATGCTTATACTGATTGGGTTGAAGGAGGCTACGACAAACGTCAAAAGGCTACCAACATACGCTACACCAGGCACCCAAAACAGGCGTTAGAAAACATAAATCAGTTACTTAAGTATAGAAAGTAAAAAGGTACTCGCAACAACAAAATGTCTGTGAACAGCAAGTAACAGTAGTGAGTTTTACAAACTGGAAATAATTGTTTTGACATTTGTTTATGCGAGTTTTTCATTGACGTTTGTTAAATTGATATACATGCATTCATATAACATAAAAAGTAATTATTTAGCTTTAATAACAGATTTAATCATAAATAAATGACGAATAAATTAAAGAAGAATACGTCTTTTGATAGAGCAAAGTCTCTCAGTGAATTTGCTCGATGAATTCAAGTTTGACTCACAGGTGAATTTATCAGTGAATACATGATTACTTAACGAGTAAATGGATATTTTAATTTGTGTTTGAAGACTTTTGCAAGTTTAAATATCTACCCATTCAGTAATACTGACGGAGAATGCAGAAATATGTTATCGTATTATGTTATTGACATTTACATACAAAAGTAAATGGGATATTGCATTTAAATTGGTAAATTGCATTTCTTCGTTTGAAGTCCATGTCTACATATAGGCAGATTTCTATATATATATTTATAACAAAACATATGAAGAATATAAAAATACAGAAAACAAGTATTGGTAGGAGGTGATAAAAAAATGAGAAAAACATAAACCATAGAATAAGTATGGTTTATAAAATAATGTTTAAAAAACAACCACAAATAAAGCAAAAACCGAACATGTTTTATTCTCCGAATGATTCGCAAATCCTACGATACACGACAGGATAGGACTAGCATAGGGACTGGTTTGAGAAAGTTTGTCAGTACCCCTCCAAAGATCTTACCGGAAAGCAAAGCAAAAACCGAACATGTTTTATTCTCTGAATGATTCGTAAAAGACGATTTATAAAGTAACCCCCTTGTAGTATTATGTATTCGCAATTGAACCTTCTCGTTGGTGACACAGCAGAGGCCATAATAAAACTGGTTTGCGAATCTCAAAGTTTTTTTTATATGTCCTTTTCTATCTATTACCTGTTTTATCCCTAACGCCTTTCTTAAAAACCCTGCACTTGGCCAAGAAAGGGTGGTGATTGGTTCTGTTAATTGGATTAATTGAAGTAAGCTTTATATTGAAAGCGATATTGACTAATGTACTCGTTGTTAGTAGAATATGACTATTTTGACGCTTGTGATACGTATCTGAGGCATGGTATTTTTACAAGGTAGTACTCTTAAATCGGCATTCACATATACACCAGTAACATGCCCCCATTACACCGCATACATTTCACACATGGAAGTGCTTCACTTAATTGACCATAGCTGTTGATATGACTCTAAGCTCAATTCATCAAACAAAACTGAACTGAACCAAACTGACCGACCCGATGTCTGAATGGGGTACATATCAGTATTCTATCAAGCACCGTAGCAACAGAAAAGATTGTCATGTATATATTTCATTACATATATCTACCCCAAGGAAAATATATTGTAAATCAGAAACCTATCAATCCATTTATCAACAGACACAGGCAGCTTTGATATACTGCATGTAGTTATAGTCAGTAATAACCAAAAAAAAAGCTATTATGGTTAAATAATCATCGAAGCAATCCTCATACATTTGGCGCATGAGCTTTATTCTGACAGGTAATGGTTCGAATAGATGTCTCGCAGTGATGTCGTAATTGGATTAAACACTTCTAAAGATGCATGAGGGCATTTGTTTTACCCATTTAAAGTACCTCCCTGTCTCATGTTTGCCTATTTTTCTTTTAAAATGTTCATGTGTCTACATGTTTACTGTTCTACTTTTTATTTCATTTGTGAAAGAACCTCGTATACAGAGAAAACAATGTCACGTTGATGATAGTAACTATAGCCTTCCCTAAGCTTAAAAAACAGAACCATATTGGCGATACCTCTTCCATCATATATCCGAACAACATCGGACTCAGGAGCGCCCCAGCAAAGGCAGTTATCATTAGGTATGCAGTCACTTTACCTCGAAGGGGAATTAAATTCTCGTTGATCCAACTCAGAAAACTTGGCCAAACAACACCCAAAGGTGTTCCTATAACACATACAGATATCCATATTCCTACATCAGCCAGAAAAACGGCGCTTACTGAAAGTCCAACAAATCCTACGGTACACGATATGATGGATAGCAATAGCATAGGGACTGGTTTGAGGAAGTTTGTCAGTACCGCTCCAAAGATCCTACCGGAAAGTAAAGCAAAAAACGCCACGGATGTTAACATGGAACCGGCTGTCTTTGTCCATTACAAATGTTGAACACAAAACACTGTCAGAAAGCCGCTAAATGAATAATTCATTGCAACGAACACAGCTGAAAATATTCCAACATTTACAAATTGAAGTATCTTTATCAATATTGGAAGATCGCCAATGAAACGTAACTCGTCGATCCTGACTTTATTCTCTGATTGTTGTGGTGATTTGAAAAATAATACAACAAATGGAATTGTGACCAAAAATGCAAATCCAGCTGAAATTGAAAAAGCTATATAAAGTCTGGATTCGGGTGATTCTGTATGAGTCGCATTTAACTTCGGAACAGATTGGATGTAAGAGCCGTTTCCATTGACGTCATCGAACATTTCGTTAGATACGTTCAGAGATGCATTGTATATCGTGACATCTGTCGTTGTTGGAATCAAGAACGGTGACGTCACAATGGGCGAGAGGAATCCAAAGATAGCATAAGCAGCGTAGAAGATGTTCATATACACCCTACCCCTCGCCGAAGTTCCCCAGATTGACGCTGCTATCGATATTAAAGCTGAAATGATACATAAAGTGTTCCATTGATATGAATAAATAACCTATTTAGATACATATTAAATGAACATTTTTTTGTACATAAAAAATACATGCATCAACGATACTGATGAAACCTTGACGTACAGTATTTCAATGGTCAGTAATTTAGATTACAGTAAAATTATATTGTAATCAACATGAAAAGAAAATATCCTTAAATATATTTAACAATTGGGTATATTTGCTTAAATTCACACTGTTCTTCAATAATGCATTAGAGATGATAATACTATGTATATGTGAATAAATAGAGAAACAAGAGACTGCTCCCTTTTTAATTTTTGTTTAAAGCAAATGTACAATAAACCAGGATAATGTAACTTACAAACAGACATCACTCCACCGGAAATACCATGTAGAACATGCGCAGCAATCATCATTTCATATACTGTACACCATGGTATGACGGCAAACATGAGACTGTTGGTAGTCATGGCGACTACAAGAATAAGGTATCTGTTTAGTCTGGAATAAATAGCTCCTCCTAGAATAGAACCCATCACCCTTCCTATAAAATACGACGTCATGAACAAAGATCCTTCTTCAAGGCTTGTGCTACAGATGAGCAGAATATCTAAGAATGCAGGTCCGAACTGGCCTTTTGTCCATCCCTGGCAATATATAGACGTTGTCATTTAAAAACATGTTTTATTTGTGTATCAAACTCAGTTTCGTAGAATATGAATCAAACACATTCATAAAGATGTATATCACTAAACCTACTGTAGCTGCAATTCAATCTGTTACGGCTATCATGAAATATACTTATTTAAGAATATCTGCTGTTGCCCAAAGGAAAACTAGAAAAGATATGGGCCAGTGTTGACCAGAATACGAAACGGGAAATTGTAATCACTACATGAGATCATCATCTTTAATATAATTCAACCATACAAACAAAGAAAATATAACAAACCAGTATGCAGAAACCTGAAGCGGCGCATACACTCAGCAAGGTCTTGAATCTAGTGGCATCGTTATGAAGAATCTCGTGTAGAAATGATCGATATTCTTTGATAGGGGCCTTCGTCTGGCATTCCTCTTTTCCATCCTCGTTAGCACTTTCATTAAATGGAACTGATTCGCAATCACATCCGTTGACTTTGTAATCCTCTATGTTTTTCGCCATTTCCCCGTTGTGTGACACTGTTTAAGGAAACCATATCTCATTAGCACAAGCCGGTTTCACATTGCATGTACAATGTTATAGAATATATCGAGCGTTTATGATGTAGAAAAAGTAATCAGAAACACGGGTAAGAATGTTTCAAGCAAAACGTGATGTTTTACCATGTGTTTATCTTAGCCCAAGAGTTGAGATTCATCTGTCTGCTTTAAAAAGAAGTGATTGAGAAGTGTTGCAATGGTGAACCCAACGCTTCGGTTCATCACCAAGAGCGCATGACGATGCGCTAGTTCTGCTACATACAAAGTTAACGCAATGGAAAGTTTTCAAAAGTGTGGAGGGAAGTCGTCCTAAGAGTCCAGTAAGACATGTATATCGGGAATGCGAAGCATGGGAGCAAATGTGCACACCTCAATCTGGACATTATATATCTGTATTTGCATTTGCGCTGCAACCCTTTATATGAACATTTCCAGTAGAAATGCATTTCATTTGAGTTTGAAAGCAAAAACTCTCGTGACGTGACACGTGGTTTACTTATGACGCTATAGATTAACCTTCAATCCACACTATTACAAGGAGATAAATACACCAGCAACATACCCCCATTACACCGCATACATTTCACACATGGAAGCGCTTCACTTAATTGACCCTAGCTGTTAATATGACTCTAAATTCAATTAAACAAACAAAACCAAACTGAACTAAAACTGACCGACTCGATGTTTGAATTGGGCACATATCAGTATTCTATCAAGCGTTGTAGTAACAGACACGGGAAGCTTTGTTCCTAAGTCGTCTTAAGAGTCCAGTAAGACATGTTTATCGGGAATGCGAAGCATGGGAGAAAATGTGCACACCTCAATCTGGACATTATATATTTGTATATGCATTTGCGCTGCAACCCTCTATATGAACATTACCAGTAGAAATGCATTTCATTTGAGTTTGAAAGCACAAACTCTCGTTACGTGACACGTGGTTTACTTATGACGCTATAGATTAATCTTATTCAGTGAGAGTCTTGTCGCTTCGCTTCTGGTAACATGGAGAATGCCCCTGTGTCAAACACTTAAATGACTACGGTTAATTATTGGCCCCAATTTAGTTTAATAGGGCTGTTGCGCCAATGTCGTTTAAAGCACGACGCATAAACGAAACGCAGTAAATAAATAAATGATTTAAGAATAAATAAATAAAAGGGAACAATATTTTCTATAGATTTTTTTTTAAATATATACATTGAACGGCATTGTTTTAATTTTCATACCGGTATGAACGCAAATCGGTTATATCCATATCAAACATGAAACCCTAGCAGGCTTCACGCAATATGTTTGTAACTGATTTGTGTTCATACCGGCATGAAAATTGAAAACAAAAACGTTCAATCCATATATAACAAAATATCAACAATTTAATAAAACATTTTATCTTTACATGAGCATTTTACGCCGAAACGATCTTCAGTTTTTTTAAGCACACGTTACTACACTCCCACGGGTGTATGACAGGGAACTTCCACAGATGGTGTTTTCAAATCTGGTCAAACCCGAGGCTTTGCCGAGGGTTTTGCCAAATTTGAAAAATCCCGAGGGTGGAATTTACCGATTTTACACCGTTGGGCATGAGATTTTTTTTTTTTCTCTCATTCCAACTACACTAAAAAGCCAAAAAAACTGAAAATGCGTTTGGACTGACTACCATTTTGAAAATATCAATTTTCCCCTGAACGAAAACGAATCAGTCAGCCAGATTAAGCATACCCTATATTTCCTCTGTTTGTACTGAAAAGTTAATCTTATCGTTCTAATTTGTACGGTAAATATATTGTAAAATGTTTTAATTTCATCACGTCGTGACGTCTCGTTATTGTTGAGCCATTATAACATCACGTCACGTTTTCCTTTTTCTTACCCTGGACAGCTCTATTTTACACACAGGGAAATGAGAGAAAATTATCTACCTTACGTTATTAGTTTTAAATGATGTTTCGTCAGATCGTGAAAACTTTTTAAAAATGCATGCTGTCTTAAAATCTACTGAATATAAAATATAATAAAATAAAAAGCAGTTTATTACTCACCTATAGACTCACCACTATGGACTGTATGAGGACGAGATGACAGCAGATGGTGATGATCTCGTCACAATAAATACACAGTCTTATCAGAGTATATATCAGGGAATCACTTTTTAGTTTTATATGTCAGTATTTTACTGAATATTCTATTTACCTGAGACGGATACTGGATCGCATCGACAACGATTTGTGGTTGTGTGTTTCAGCAAAATACTTGAAACATCTTGTAAAATTACGTCTGCCTTTTTTTGGAACTAGCTTTAACCCAGTAACGCAAAATCGAAATGTCAGCTGTTTACATCTAAAACGGTCTTCGGTCTGAAGGCTCTTAACCATTCCGCTTTATATATGATAGATTTAACAGAGTAATAGAGTAAGTTTATGTTAATCTCACATACATACTGTAGATGCATCTGGTGACCTCCGTTTTGGAACTGCATTTTTGTTTTCTAATGTCCGACTAGGGACTAAATAAGCAAATGCTTTAATTTCAAAATATTGGATTCCGTAATGGCTTATACGTTAAATATAACGTCATTAAATGTTAGCGCCTGCGAGAAAATAAGCAACTCTTAAAATACAACCGCAAATTAAAATTATCTAAATGAAATAAACATCGCATGAGCATTAGTTTTTGTCCATTTTCTGACCGTGACATCGTAAAGGAACATACCCTGCCTACACCCGTTTAGGAGAGGAAATGCATAACTAGCAGTGTGCTTTCGTACGAAAGATCAAATTATTACCCTCGCTGGTGCATGTAACATATACCTATTATCAATTTAAAAACGAAGAATATACCCCATTTCAGGTTGGCTGGACAGTATAATTCAGCTAAGGATACATTCCCTATTCCCCCGTATTTTCGTGAGAGAGTTAACATATGTAACTGACAACTTTTAGCAATAATTCAAATTTTTTGACTAGTACATGTTGTTTAAGTTACCGTTCCGTTAACTGCCGAAAAAAAATACTGCTAAAATTGAAGTTAATAAATAAATATGAAATGCATATTGGTATTAAAAGATATAAAACTCCATTGACTAATATTTGTGTCCAGTATAATCGTGCAAAGCCTTTTTTCACGACTGGTTCTTATCTCAAAAGGTGCAGAGTTTAATCCATGTTTACTTTATCATCATGCATAAGCGATTTCACAAGATGTCATGAGAGCAGAAGTCAACACAACATACAATTACTGCAACAATATTTTCGACGGGTCAGAGGTAACATTTACACAATTAACGTGTTTTCATTTTTAATTGAAAAAGATCTATAACGTCACTTCATTTTTAATTGAACAAGATCTATAACGTCACTTCACCTATGAAGTAGTGTTAACTACTGTTAAACAGGAGAAGCGTGTCAAAATTTGAACAGGAAGATTGTTAATGTAAAGGGACCCATTGGGGTAGCGAGAAATTAGATATATCATCCAATTCTTTACGGCACGTACGAAAATATCATTGACACCCTGCGTGTGGTAATAACGTAGGTAATCACTTGTGCTATGTAACAAAATAAGGAATGCCAGTGTTATCCTACTGATAGGAAAAAAGAGTGAAAAAGAATTGAATGATTCTACTAAACAGAGGATAGCTCTCATTTGTATATCGTTACTGACTATTATATTAATGATGGTTTTCTACAGGTTTCTCATATCTATTCGTTTTCTGATATTGTTTTGCAATTACTATGAATGATTTTCTCACTATTTAGCAAAAGGAGTGAACAACATTTTTACTTTTTGCTAATGTAGTCTTTGGTTTACAATATGTTATTGTGTTAATGGTGTGATATACGACTAGGTCTTGTTGTCACTTATTCTCATAAAACATATATAAACAAACATAAATAGTATGCATTTCAAATATAACTAGCACGCGGACTTTAAATATATATATAATTGAAATTATTGAAATAGTCAAATGTTGCCGACTAACCTAAAATGCTTCTTTATATTAAAAACAAATGTGCAGTTTGAAATGTTTAATTAATGACATGATATTTGGACTTTATTAGTAACAATAAAATTAAATATATAAACGACAATAGAATACATTTTTCTACAAAAGTTCTATTAGATGGAAATTTCATTTTAGAAAGTTCAACTGATGTTGCTGCTGTTGCCGATTTCTTTGTAACGTAAATAAATATGCTATTGCGAAATAAAGTATGAGTAAAATGATATGCATTTTATGATATATATAATAAAATAGCTATTCATCCGTTAATCGTTAATAACCAAGGTAACAGAGACGCTTCCTCGATAAGGTAACGAAAACACCTGCTGTATCTCACTTCATGTCGTACGACGAGACTATTGTGTCACACACACAAACACGAACTGACAACAAGGTGTTTCTTCTGTACCGGTTACTAACAGGAACTGACAACAAGGTGTTTCTTCTCTACCGGTTACTAACAGTACCTTGACAACACCGAAATCGACCTGTTGCGCCAATAAAAATCCTGGGGATCAACATATGTTGTTTTCTATCTTACCTACTCTCTCCTGTCTCTCTTGGCACATGTCTTCAAATGACCTTAGCTGTTGCAAGGACGTTATTTTTAAACCCCATACACATACCAGACAGACATATAATGATAATTGAGAAAGCTACCTCCTTTTGGCGCAGCTCGGCTCTGAATGGTGGCTGTTTAGTTATAAGGTCTTTTTGGAGTAGCACTCATATACTATATCATCCTCAGCGTTGTCTCCAAGTGAAAATATTTATAACACCTCTTAGCAAAACCAATGCTTTCCGATAGTAAGTGTTTCTTGATTTCTCCTGATATACATTATCAACCCTTTAGATATGTATGGGCTGTTTGCATTGATCGTATTCGTGTATGTTCCACTCAGGGTGAACCTACTACAAACTGATATAATATCTATCGTTAAACTGTTGGCGATAAGTATGGCTTCGACTTATAACCCTGTACTTTATTTGTGTCAGTTTATGTTTCATAAACACCAGGAGTCATGACCTATGACCATATTGATTAAACAAACTCTGTAAAATGTCATGCTTTCATATCTATAATTGTTTTATTCCACCTTGTAAAGAGATTTCTTGTTTGAAATGACCCCATAAAAGGGGAAACAAATCTTAATTGGACCATTTTAATTGTTACATATAAACTACGATTGACTAAAGTTGATTTACTTATGGAGCTCTCCACTATTATAGCATTTAACTCGCAACTGGAATATTGCTATAAATAACTTTGGGAGAATGCCATGTGAGTCGCATGTTTGTTCAATACATTTTTTACAAAATTTTAAATGTCAGATTAATAAGCTATACACCTTAAATGTCAGATTAATAAGCTATACATTTTGAATGTCACTTTTAATAAGCTATACATTTTAAATGTCAGATTAATAAGCTATACATGTTAAATGTCAGATTAATAAGCTATACATTGTAAATGTCAGATTAATAAGCTATACATTGTAAATGTCAGATTAATAAGATATACAGTTGTGGGACCGCACAACGCACCAAAAATAGCGTGCGCACACCGTGCATACATCGTTCACACACCGTCCGCACATCGTCCACACATGGTGCGCACAACTGTGCGATTTAGCAATCGTTCGCCCCGTTGTGCGCTTTTCTCCGCACAACTGTGCGATTTGGTATCATTTGTAGATCAAAATTACGGAATGACAAAAATACGGAAGGCTTGTATGCGATAATGTAAACTGTGTATATATCTGTGATTTCTCATCACAATAATCAAGATTATACAATTTCACAATGCGTGTTACACAGTATTACAGCGACCGTTAGGCTGTCAAGAAAGGGTTTGGCTCCAAATTATACTGATTCTCTACATATGTTTTAACTACATGAACATTATATTGTTTAATTCTCATATCATTGCATTCATTAATGGTTAACAATTAATTGGTAACAGTTAATGATTTTTTTTTGATAACCATAATCATGACCCTAACATTTGAAAACGACATTTCCAGGTTTCCTAATTCCGCTTGATTCTAGCATTTTAGACTATTTGCCTCAAGGCATACAACAGAAATGAACATAAATCAACGATAAAACTCACCTTATAATTATAGTTGTGTTTCAAAGCCAATAGTAAATACTCTCTCCTCTTTTTGTAGTGTGGATATTTTACTGTTTACATGATCTTTCATATCCGCGAGAGCATTACTGTAACAGCTGCGCAATACATGCAATTTGATTGTGTGAAGTTTTAATGAAAAACTCTGCGTAGACCTAGCAACAGGTTGTGTAGATTTGAAATAACGATTGTCGTCTTCGAGTTTAGATAAAGTCTGGTGTATTGACGATATATTACACCTTGTTCTAATTATTCGGGTAGCAGTTTAAAGTGATTAGATGGACTCAGTAGAGTGTCCCATGCGGTAGGCCGAATGCAGATTGTCATGGAGACTGTTTTCATAGAGATGAACCTCTAAACAGAGAGGCAGAGTTGATACTTGGTGGTAGTTCTTCAACGCCTCCTTGTTTATTCCAGGCTTCTACAAAAATGGCATTACATGTGCCTTCTACACAATGGAACCTTTGACTTAACCAATGATTTGTTCATGATTGAGGTAATCAAAGGAAGCAGTTCTTCAAGAAATTGCTTTAATAGGTCTGAAGGCAGTGGATCAAGCACACAGGATTTCGATTGTCATGATGATATTGCACAACTCTTCCGCGGTTGTGGAGTAGAGCTTTGTCAATGGTTCCCCATCAAATTTAATGTCGGCAGTCATGACAGAGATATCATTGTCAGCAGTAGAGTTCACTTCGGAATATTTTTTTCTTGATCGAGCTGATTTTATTCAGAAAGTAATCACTGACCTTGTCTTTTTCAGAATTACAGCTTGGTAAGATAATTTCACCTTTCTGATCCATAGGGTTTTTGGTGAGTCTAAAAAGCTGTCTATGGTCATTACCACATTCTTCGATTTTTTTTTAATTATAAGTCTTCTTTGACTGAATGAAGAACCAACTAGCCGACATTGTTCCCCATAAATTTGGTGGTGACCGTTTAATTTGTTCCTTCGCAACGGTTCTCTTCTTGTCTACGGTATTGTTTTTCTACGCGGAGATTTTTATTATACAGAGGGGCATTGGGTCTAACAGTAATCACCTTATTCTGAAGTGGTGCGTGTTCCTCTATAAAGGCTTCTATACCAGATGTGTATGCTTCAACGAGATCATCAACCCCGCCTTTAGTAGATTGAAGGGCGGAGAAGACTCAATGTCATTGTTGAAATCTGGTAATGACATTTCGCGGAATTTCCGGAAGCTAACTTATTTCCTTGCATGATCTGGCTTACTACAATTCAGTGTTGCGTGGACAGCAAGATAATCACCAGATTGGTTCCCCTTTACATCACTTAGACATGGATCAATCCCTGAAATGACTTCAAGAATGACTGAGTTATCGTCCCTTGTTATGACCACATCCAGTGTGTAGCTTTGGGTGTGTGTAGCTTCAGCCACATGTTGAATCAGACCCCTGGGATCTAGTAGCACAGAGAACTGGTAACTTGGTGGTCTAAAAAGGTAGACCACTCATAAAAAAATACTCTAGTTCTACAAAAATATTCCAAATAGAAAAAAATCCATATTTCATTGCAATAAACAAGTTTATGTATTTTTACGAACGTTATAAAAAATGTATGATATAAGTATGACAGCGACACCTACAAAAAAATATATAACTGGAAAAACGCAATCATGTCCTCCATATACAACACTGGTTACTGAGACAACAACACTTTCAGGGAATTAACGAACCTCAACTTATTTAAATTATGCATATTATTATTTAATAAGTTACCACAACGGCAAGATACGAGTACATAATATGGTTCATAAAACAGGTAGTGATCTATTTTTGACTCCTTTTTTTATGTGAATTATCATTACAAACGTATGCTGAAATCAAGACCAGAACACATCACAGAGGCTACCCAAAGAAAACTATGACTGGCTAATAAAACAAAATTGCATTATGTTATCGAACAAAGCTACACCGAAACAAAACTCTATAACGCTAGGAAAACAAGCTCTATTGGCTATCAAAACAAGCTATGTCAAAGAATATATACAGAGCTTATACAAACAAGGACACAAGAGGTTACGAAAGCAAGCTTCATGAGGATGCTAACAAAAGTTAAAGGAGCCTATCAAAAGAAGCTACAGAGACTAAGAGGCTATCGAAAGAATCTACAGAGACTAAGAGACTATCAAAAGAAGCTACAGAGACCAAGCAGATATCAAAAGAAGCTAAAGAGACTAAGAGGCTATAAAAAGAAGCTACAGAGACTAGAAGGCTATCAATATAAGCTACAGCGAGACTAAAAGTCTACCAAAAGAAGCTACAGAGACTAAGAGACTATCAAAACAAGCTACAGAGACTAAGGGGCTACCAAAAGAAGCTACAGAGATTAAGAGGCTATCAAAAGAAACTTCAGTGAGACTAAGGGGTTATCAAAAGAAACTACAGAGAGAATAAGAGGATATCACAATAAGCTACAGAGACTAAAAGGCCATCAAAAGAAGCTACAGAGGCTAAGAGGCTACCAAAAGAAGCTACATAGACTAAAAGGCTATCAACAGAAGCTACAGAGAGACTAAGAGGCTATCAAAAGAAGCTACAAAGGCTAAGAGTCCAGCAAAAGAAGCTACAGAGACCAAGAGGATATCAAAAGAAGCTACAGAGAGACCAAGAGGCTTTCAAAAGAAGCTACAGAGACTAAGAGGTTATCAACAGAAGCTACATAGAGACTAAGAGGCTATCAAAAGAAACTTCAGTGAGACTAAGGGGCTATCAAAAGAAACTACAGAGAGAATAAGAGGATATCACAATAAACTACAGAGACTAAAAGGTTATCAACAGAAGCTACAGAAAGACTAAGAAGCTATCAAAAGAAGCTACAGAGGCCAAGAGGATATTAAAAGAAGCTACAGAGACTAAGAGAAAATCAAACGAAACTACAGAGAGACTAAGAGGCTATCAAAAGAAGCTACAAAGGCTAAGAGTCCAGCAAAAGAAGCTACAGAGACCAAGAGGATATCAAAAGAAGCTACAGAGAGACCAAGAGGCTATCAAAAGAAACTACAAAGAGAATAAGAGGATATCACAATAAGCTACAGAGACTAAGAGGTTATCAACAGAAGCTACAGAGAGACTAAGAAGCTATCAAAAGAAGCTACAGAGGCCAAGAGGCTATCAAAAGAAGCTACAGAGACTAAGAGAAAATCAAACGAAACTACAGAGAGACCAAGAGGCTATCAAAAGAAGCTACAAAGGCTAAGAGTCCATCAAAAGAAGCTACAGAGACCAATAGGATATCAAAAGAAGCTACAGAGACTAAGAGGCTATCAAAAGAAGCTACAGAGACCAAGAGGATATCAAAAGAAGCTACAGAGACTAAGAGGTTATCAACAGAAGCTACAGAGAGACTAAGAGGCTATCAAAAGAAACTTCAGAGAGACTAAGGGGCTATCAAAAGAAACTAAAGAGAGACGAAGAGAATATCACAATAAGCTACCGAGACTAACAGGCTATCAAAAGAAGCTACAGAGGCCAAGAGGCTATCAAAAGAAGCTACAGAGACTAAGAGGATATCAACAGAAACTACAGAGAGACTAAGAGGCTATCAAAAGAAGCTACAGAGACCAAGCAGATATCAAAAGAAGCTAAAGAGACTAAGAGGCTATAAAAAGAAGCTACAGAGAGACTAAGAGGATATCAAAAGAAACTACAGAGAGACTAAGAGAATATCACAATAAGCTACAGAGACTAACAGGCTATCAAAAGAAGCTACAGAGGCCAAGAGGCTATCAAAAGAAGCTACAGAGACTAAGAGGATATCAACAGAAACTACAGAGAGACTAAGAGGCTATCAAAAGAAGCTACAGAGACCAAGCAGATATCAAAAGAAGCTAAAGAGACTAAGAGGCTATAAAAAGAAGCTACAGAGAACAAGAGGCTTTCAAAAGAAGCTACAGAGACCAAGCAGGCGTTAGAAAACATAAATCAGTTACTAAACTATAAAAAAGTAAAAAGATACTCGCAACAACAAACTTCAAAAGGCTACCAACATACGCTTCACCAGGCACCCAAATTAGGCGTTAGAAAACATAAATCAGTTACTAAAGTATAGAAAGTAAAAAGATACTCGCAACAACAAACTTCAAAAGGCTACCAACATACGCTTCACCAGGCACCCAAAACAGGCGTTAGAAAACATAAATCAGTTACTAAAGTATAAAAAGTAAAATGATACTCGCAACAACAAACTTCAAAAGGCTACCAACATACGCTACACCAGGCACCCAAAACAGGCGTTAGAAAACATAAATCAGTTACTAAAGTATAAAAAGTAAAATGATACTTGCAACAACAAACTTTCTGTGAACAGCAAGTAACAGTAGTGAGTTTTACAAACTCGAAATAATTGTATTGACATTTGTTTATGCGAGTTTTTCGTTGACGTTTGTTAAATTGATATACATGAATACATACATTGTATAACATAATAAAAGTAATTCTTTAGCTTTAATAACAGATTTAAGTATGAATAAATGACGAATAAATTAAAGAAGAATAAGTCTTTTGATAGAGCAAAGTCCTCTCAGTGAATATGCTCGAAGAATTCAAGTTTGACAGTCAGGTGATTTATCAGTGAATACATGATTAGTTAACGAGTACATTGATATTTTAATTTGCGTTTTAAGACTTTTGCAAGTTTTAATATCAATATATTCAGTAATACTGCAATTGAACCTTCTCGTTGATGACACAGCAGAGACCATAATGAGACTGCTGTGTGAATCGTATTTTTTTATATATTTTCTTTTCTATCTATTTCCCGTTTTATCCCTAACGCCTTTCTTGAAAACCCTACACTTGGCCAAGAGAGGGGGTGATTGGTTCCTTTAATTGGCCAAACCAAACCTTTGCAAGTCTTTGCAATTGGCATTTACTGGTCTGCGTTTGATGCTAGCTTTGCATTGATAGCGATATTGACTGATGTACTCGTTGTTAGTAGAATACGACTATTTTGACGTTTGTGCTACGTACCTGAGGCATGGTATTTTAACAAGGTAGCACTCTAAAATCGGCATTCAATCCACGCTATTACAATGAGATATCTACACCAGCAACATACCCCCATTACAACGCATACATTTCACACATGGAAGCGCTTCACTTGATTGACACTAGCTGTTAATATGACTCTAAACTCAATTAAACAAACAAAACCAAACTGAACCAAAACTGACCGACTCGATGTCTGAATGGGGCACATATCAGTTTTATATCAAGAGTTGTACATGCAAATTAACACACATTACCGAGTATGACACATACACACTATCCGTGTGTCATTGACAGTTTTTGCCCGCGCAGTTTGCTCTCTATTGGCGTTGACCAGTTTGCACGTTTTTCTCGTCCAGCCATCCAATTCGACGATGAAAGTTTATTTTTCAACTATTGGGTCACTCGGTTGAGACCAGTGAACAGTAAAAATAGCATTATAACGTTTTAATTTGTGATTAATGCTATGCCAGACTCAATGAAATTACCGCCTCCGGATTATTGGAATGCTTCAAGCTGGTATGTGCAAAGCCGTTCACGTTTTCATGTCCATCGAAACACAATCCGGGATTTGTGGACGACATCAACAGTTTGGCCACGTAGGCGATCGACCCCGTGCGGGACGTCCACGTGTGACGTCAAGTCAACAGGACAAC